TTTGTGTTTGTGTCCACACACTCACATCCTCATTAATTTGTGTAAGCCAGTTGTTGCCCAACTTGAATGGCATTTTAATTTGAATTCTACCGCTCTTGGGTTGTGCAAATGTTTGCGAAAAAGTATAGCAGTACTCATCTACCATGTGGCGCGGCGAAAAAAAATTCCGCAGAATTTGTCAAACTCAATTAAGCTGAGAGCGCACAACATACTCGTACTCGTACTCGTATGTATAACAAATATGCTTTGACAATATCTCTGCAATTAACAGAGCGTTGCGCAAACCCGCGTATACTCTAAAAGGGGAATCACAAACAATAAAAAATGGTTCGTGGACAACTCACTGACAACAAGTTGGCTCAAAAATAGAACAGAAAGTACTGGAGCAGCATATTTTGTTGTCCTGTGTGAGAGTTGAACTTATAGCAGCGCCAAATCAATTCAAATTTACCAAATAACAATTAAATAAACCTTTTGATTATTTAATAAGCAGCATGAATTATTCACTATTTTCTATTTATTTAAGAAGACATTCAATGCACCCTCAAAATTCTATATAAGTTGCCAAGCTACAGAGGAGCGCCTGACCCACTCTTCGAGCAAACATTTGAATAAAATATTGTATTCAATGATAAAGATTATACAATTTGTACGATAAAAATTCCTATACTTGTACAGACAACTTGTTAGGCAAAAGTTTAAAATTCCTGACAAACTATTTGATTTTTATACCCTGTAGTGTAAAAAGGGTATATTAGGTTTGTGCAAAGTATGTAACATACAGAAGGAAGCATCTTCGACCCCATAAAGTATATATATTCTGAATCAGCATGACGAGAGAAATCGATCTAGACATGTCCGTCCGTCCGTCCGTCTGTCCGTCCATCTGGATGAACGCAAGGATCTCAGAAACTATAAAAGCTAAAATAACCAAAGTTGGTATCCAGATTCTCCTAGGTCCGAGAAAGGACAAGTTTATTTTATTTCTTTTAATATCCCCACCTTCCCCCGCTACAGAATTTCGTCAATAGCGTTCACATTTCAACAGCTACCTTAACCAAACTTTGCACACATAATTTATATATATATATTCATATATATTTTTTAAACTTCATCTAAATCGGGTAATTGTAAGAAAAGTTATTAGCGAAACAATTTCACTCCGGTACTACGCCCACAAGCTGCAGCATCAAGTTCGCTCTTCTTCTTCCTTTTTCTTCTGCTAGAGGCGCATATACCTCAGTGCCGGACGTTTACCTGGGTACAGGGTATTTCACTGTCGGGCTTGCTCGACTGTAGCGTTCTCTCTTGTTATTTTATTTGTTTGCCAGCGTTTGGCGCCACTGCGAAACTGTCTTACAAAACTATCTTGATTGCAAATTTTTCTTTGTTTTCATTATTAATGAACACCTAACTACGTATCAAGTATCAATCAGGTTTTGTGGATGAACTAAATGAATAGAATTGAAGGTATTGATTGCGAATTAATGTAAACTGATACCCTTGTCAACTTTCTTGCCTAGCAGAAATGCTTTAAAATCTTTTTTCAAGGATTCATTCTATGTCTAAGAAATTTTGAATATTAAAAATGAATGACTGAATTAAGAACAATTGAAATTCTTAATTGAAGTTCTTGATTGATTGAAGACAATAAACAGCATCGAGATGAAATTGAATTCCGTTTAGTTGCACTCGAAATAGATAGCTAAAGCGATTTAATCTGAAACCCAATTAAAGCAACTGCATGCAAATATATTCAAAAATATATTTTCTAAAGAAGTTATTTTTCCAGCTGGGGCAATGGCTCAGCTGTCCAGGATCCCTTACAAGAAATTTGTAAGTTGCGGGACCTTGCGACCAAAGGGCTCGATGCACACTGTAGGGGACAATCGGCAGCGACACGTGGAATTTGTACTCACTGGTTGAGGCCCGATAAGAGGCAAATTCGACGCGTCTACCAGTCTGTTGCCGTTTTACATTTGTGGTTAAACGTCGCCAGTCTGATCCGCCGATCCCGTTGCCTATAACGCAATAGTGTTATATTTGCTGCTTAGTGGACCAAATATAATCTCCAATGATCGAAAATAACCAACGCGCGTTCAAAATATTGTTCATGATGCCTTTTATTCATAGTTTGTTCAGTGTTGGCCCTACGCTGCACCAAATTTCTGCTTTGATTATTTAGTCTTACTCGGATATTATTCTTGCTAGGTTAACTTATATTATGCCTCGCTGCTGGCACTCGTCGCAATCACGCACGTCCATCTGCGTGGGTGGTCGCCGGAGAAGAGAGCGAGCTTCCGTTTTCACTGGCCCTTCTAGCCTTTGTTCGTGGGACCTTATTCCCTTTTTCTAAAATCCCTATGCAAGCGTGGGCGGTAATGCCGGCCCGTTTATTCTCCCTCTATTCAAAAGATCATTGCTTCGTAACTCTACTTGTATGGAGCGTGGTGAAAAAATAAGAAATCTTAAATCTAGTAATTCAGTAATAATGGAATCCTAAGGCTAGTACAAAGTGAAATCTTAAATCTAGTAACAAAATATGCAATATTCAAAAATATAAAATAGTGAATTCAATATAATAATAATAGTTTGTGGCGCAGAATTTAACTGAGTCACAATTTTTACGTTTTTATTTAATATTTGTTACGATCTGTGCATGAATCAACCCAGTAGCAATACCATAAATCCACACACATGTACACATACATACATGCATGTATGAACGCAGATGTGCCACCAACTTTACATTCACAATTATAAACGCTTTTTGTATTACAACGTTTTTTTTTTTTGGTGAACGGATTTAATTCGACGTTTTTTTTTTGCCCATTTTTTGTGCCATTTGCCATTGACATTTGCAAAGTTTTTGCCATGAAGTTCATTCTACAATGCAGCAATTTAATGCCGACAACATGGCGTATGCGCAATATGCGCATTTTTCACAAAAACAAAGGCGAAAGCTACAAAAATCCAAACATTAAAGTGGAGAAAAAAAATGTAGCAGTGCCGAAAAAATGTAATAAGGAGCAAATTAAATATTGCTTGTTGCGACGACCAATAGAGGACAGAGACTGTGAGGCTGACTGAGTGGCTGACTGACGGGAAAACATGGCGCGTCTGTTAGAAGACAACTGGAGGCAGCTACAGCAACAACAACAATAACAACAACAGAAATAATAATAATGAATAATATATTAAAACGTCTATGGAATAGCAGCGCAGTGCGGACAACGCAGCCTGTGATAGACACACAGTCTTATACACACACACGCACACGCACACACACACACTCACAAAGCAAGCGAAACATTTGAGCGCAGAAACGAGGCAAATTGAAAGCCCACGGCATCTTAAGCAACACCACACACCTAAACACGCACACATAGACAAACACACGCACACCACAAACGCATATGCCTGCTTCGCCTATACTTGTACATATTCCTCCTGCTACCTCCACCACTTACGGTTATACAGCCTGTTGTATTGAGCGTTAAGGCTCGACGGGCACTTGATAATAGTCACTTATTATTCAAGTATACCGCCAGCTGTGCCAACCCCTATTCCCCATCCCTCAACCAGCCCCCAGTCCCCCTCCAGCTAGCCACAAACAGATGTTGCTGACTGGCATTACAGGTGTCTGGCAGTGCGTCTACGCACCAAGCAAAGCATTTGTGTTAAGTTAATAAGGCGCCGGCAGTTCTGCGCACACAACACAAAAAACTGAGCTCAACTGTCTACACAAATACACACACATACACACACACACAGTATACTATATAAGTGAGTATAGGTATGTTTGTGTGTGTGTGTAACATCCATGAGCGCCGAAGGCCATAGCAGCTGCTGCCGCTGTTAGCAGCCGCCCACGCATGTCTCTTAGATATTTACAGACACACCGATGCACGCACTCACACACACACACACACACATACTAGGTAAAAAGTAAATTAAGGAAGAAAATGAAAATTGCCATTAGGCTAACGGTTCTCGTAAATTCTGTGCAGAGTACAACTGTTGAGTGCTTAAAGATTCTTACAATTAATTATTGTTTAAGGGACTAACTTATCTACAAGTATAAGGTTTATTTACAACAACTAAAAATCAATTAAAAAACAAGTGGAAAATCTAAAGTATGGCTTTGAAATATTCTGCACATATGTGTAGAATAATTATGCGTGTCTATGCGTGTTTGTGTGTGTTTGTTTATGTTTCGTGTGCCTGTGCAAAGCAGCAACAACAACAACAGCTGCGGTCAGTTCTTGCCCTGAAATTATATATATGACTATAACCTGTTAGGCCTATCGGCCTATCATAATGGAACTTGGCATACGGACTTCTAATGAAAATTTTTGACAAATTTGAATGAAAAATTCCAAGAAATACGGGAGTTAAGGAAAATCGCTGATTTCGGCGAAGAGGGGGGCGGGAAGAAAATTCCAAAATACACATTCATCTTGGAATAAATTTGGTGTCTCTAGCTCTTATGGAGGTTATAGAGGTTATTTTCCAGGTGTTCATACGGATGGACGGACGAACGGACGAACAGACAGGCATAGATCGTCTCGTCTTGTCATGCTGATCAAAAATGTATATACTTTGTGGGGTCTGGGGAGGCGTTTCTCCTGCTTGTTACATTTTTCAGTTCGCGTAAACCTAATATGCTTTTAAACATTTCATGTACAGAGTATAACAATCAAATTCGAGCATAGACTGTTTTATATAAGTATACACAGACATTATTTCTTGCACCGATTGCAATAGATTTTTTGAGGGGGCATCCTTTTTGACGGCTCTATTTGGCTTTATGTTATATCATAATCTAAAAGCTATTTTTATTTAATTCTTTCTTTGTTCGTTGCATCCTCATAGTTATATCACGTTCCATGTAAGGCTTCGCGATATTGTGCCGAGCAAATGATCTGAGAAGTTAAAATCATTACAAACTTTTCAGACGTACACTGACTTTTAAAAAAAAACTCTGTCCAGTTAGACACAAACTAATGAAAATATCAGTACAAAATGAATACCAATCCCGAAACTGGTTCCTCAAGCGAGAACTTCTTTTATGGCTGGGAGTTACTTTATAATTCAGTTAAGAGTGATATCGGCAAGAAGGCCGATTTGCTGATTCTATTGGCCCACTTCTTTCTCACCAAACATCACAAGTTTCGTTGCGTTGGTCTTGGCACCGATAAGTGCTTGCTTGAGGAGGACACAAAAGGATCGCTGGTGGAGCTGCCTGATCGCTGGAATTGGGATGACACTAACTACGCACTTAAATATATGTACTACAAGAATCGGTATTTGTTGCTCGGGCACATCACTGAGGACGCCCTCGTCATAAATCTATTGGACACCAATAACAGCCAACTGACGAACATTTGCATCGAGCCAGAGCTGCTGGTGATGGCATTGGATGGCAACATTTTCGCAGCTATGCCAAAAGCAGCCGACATCATTGATCGTTACCGCAAGGAGCTTCTGCGACCCGTATTCTCGGGGAACTCACATGAAGTTGCTTGCCAAACAGTTTCCATTCCCAGCAGAACTGTGGATCCATTGCGAGAGCCCGAACCCGTTCGTCCAGGTCAATTTAGGCCCCGCGGCTATGAGCCACGACCTTTTGGGTTTCCAGACATCTGGCGCAACAATTTGGAACCCATTGCTCTCAGTCGCCATGGCAGCTTCGTGCCATTGTCCTCACAACCGAGCTTGCTGCCCAAACCAATCCAGTTCAATAACTGTGCAGAGGATGGGCAACCAATCGATTATATAGAATTGGATAACTATATGTAGTCTGATGACCGACAGTGGCGGTTTGGTACGAATGGCATTCGAATTCTCTGCAAAATTAAGTCTGAAGTTCTCGTATTTATGAAATAAATTGTAAAAATTCTGTTCGTTGACGGCAGAAAAGAGTGTTTTAGTTTAAAATTAACTTTTTCTATTTAGTAGCGGTGATATAGTGTAATTTTTTTATGGTTTCGAATCGCAATTTATTATTTAGAAGTTGTTTGGAAAAGCTCAGCCATACTCAGTATAAACTAATTTTAAAAGCAACTAACTAATACTTGATTATAATTCGATTTGGCATTTTATTGAGGATTTGTTAACGCTGTTGCGTAATTTATATATTTACTTTGAAACAGCATGCAGAGAACACAACTTTTCAAGATTTGAAAACAAATTTTGATAGACATAAATAGCCATAGAAATCTGAAATACTTTTGAAGCTCTCATTCATTCCAATCGTTCAAGGTTATAGTCAGTAAAATATTCTAAAGACAAATGGAAAAATATTCGATTGATAAGCAAAAATCGCATCAGCCAGCATAAGCTTCTCTTATTTTCCTATTCAAAATTTCATTTTAAGTCTAGGATTATTAATTCGAATTGTTTTGCTATATAAAGTACTAGCGTTCCGTCCCTGCTTCGCAAGGTTCTTTTACAAAAATTTCAAAAATGATCAATTTTTTAACACACATACATACGTCCTTATTTTTGCTGAGTTACTAAAATAAAAAAGTACAAATTTAAACATAGCTTGGATATTATTATTTTAATGCTTTTCTTTGTTCATTTTTAGATTATGGGTAATGGACTGTGTCTTCGATATTAGTAATATTGCCTTAATATTTGAAGTGTAATAATGTTTTAAGGATGATTCTGAACTAACAGCATCCGCTTCAGGAATTTTGTAGGTAATTTTTGTACACCTTGGGCTACATTATTATATAATATACCCTATGCTAACCGGGGATAGTGGAGCTTCATAACAGTGAAAGAATTCTTTGAATCGGTCCAGTAATTTCGGAGCCTATTGAATTCAAATAAACAAATAAACAAACAATCATATCTCTGTATACAAATAAGTAGAGTGCAGAGTTCAATCTAACTTGCCAGTTATATAAATTGGGTCCAGCCAAGAGCATTTACAAAACTATTCAGCAAGTAACGATAAATAAGACAGTATTGTCAATCCTCCAATCAGGCCGGTTAAATCTCGTTATCTCTGATAAATATATAATTTATATTATTACACATATGTATTCACCACGACAGTCGAAGTACGTTGTGTTTCAGAATTGGCTTAAAAAAAAAAATTATTAAAAAAACTTTAAACAAAACCAACAAATATTTAAAATAAACATGTCCAATATATATTGGGCATAAAATTCCATAATTCGACACATGAAACCACCCAAAAAAGATTTAAATATGCAGAAACAATTTATTGCTTACAATTTGATTTGAATTGCTGATTTTGAAGTGCTTTATTTTTATTCATTGCATATATACTATATTTAAAACAATTTCTGTAGCAGATTGATGCACAAATATTGATGAATTTGTAAAAACGTAAAGCGCTTTCAACGCGGTTTAATTGTCAGAACATTCCATATTGATGATAAATGCAAATGACTGCCAGCAAGGTTTAAATACAATAGTATGCTACTAGCTAGTTTTGCTAGTTTGCTGAAAAAAAATTATACTACTAGCTCGTTTTTCTTGCTGTAGAAAAATTATTCATTGGGGAAAGCCGCATAAATAGTTACGGCACGAGCTGCACGGCATTTTCTCAGCTTGCTGACACGCACTTGAACTTAAAGTGGAACTTTAAAGTGCCATGGCAAAGTTTTAAAACTCTATCGTTGCCGTTGCCGTTGCCGTTGCCGTTGCCTTGCCCCGTCCCGGAGGGAAAACTCTCTCGCTTTCTCTTTCTCTCGTTCAGTTGGCTTTCAACAATATTTTAGCTTTTCATTTTGTTGCGTTTTATGTTTAAAGTTACTTATGTAAATGAAGCTCAGGTGCCTGCTGTCTAGCTTAACTTTTACACTATGCATGCGTATGTGTGTGTGTTTCAAATACATACACATTTGCCGCTTGTATTTAGAAAACACTTAAGAAGTTGTAGCGGCAGCTGCCTAACCAAATGAAACACACCCACCAGCCTCACAGCCTTACAGCCTCACAGCCCCCCAGTCCCACAATCCCACACTCTGAGGCTGTCGTTGCCTCTAAACATAAATTAACTTTGTTTTTATTTTCCATGTATTTTGTTTTTCCTTTTGTGTATTATGTGTTGTTTTTTTTTTCTCGGGCACATTTCTTTTTAATGTTGCTTTCGGCTTTTGTATTGTTTGTCTCGGTTTTGTGGTTTTTTTCTATGCGCATATCAATGTGGCATTAATTTAATTGCAGTCAGTTGTCTTAGATCTGACAGCTTTTGGAACACACACACAAGCAAGGTCTTGCATTTAAAATCGCTTCAATATTTTCGTGAATTTATTCAATGTTAATGCAATATTCTTAAAGAATCGCAAGGGTTGAGAAATTTCGCATACGTACACGTATATAGCTTTAGATTCTTAAACATCATAGAAAGCCTCATGATAATCGCAATCGTGTTAAACGAAATATGAGGTTACGTTCCTAGATTTCAACAAATGTACAACAAAAAAAAGGTTTGATGTTTAAATTTCCGCTGTTTTTGAGGTTCTAACATTTTCAAAATAAACAAAAAGTGTTGAATATTTATCATTAATTAATTTATTTATTTATCATTAACATAAAAAGGAAAATATTTTCAAGCATTTTAAATGCTGAAGCAGCTTCATATAAAATTTAATTTGGCATATATTATTAGTTAGTATTATAATTATAATTTTTTGTGTTTTTGGTGGTCCTCTTGCTTCCAAAAGCAAAGTTTCTATGATTGTTTATTGGCTTTTAACAAATGTTTGCAGCAGACTTTATAAGGTACAAGTTTTTTTCCAACTCCTTTATCAATTAAAATGGTCTTTCCAAGCTGCTAGCATATGCGAAGTTGTTCCATGGTTAAACGATTCGTAGGTAGAGTTCCTTCCGAATTGCTTTCTATCTAACTTCTATCTGACAAGTAAAGGTAAAGGGTCTCCCTAATTTCAAAAAGGTCAAACAATTTAAAAAAAAGGTTAGTATACAGCTTCATTTTCCATAACGAGCATTTGTGAAGCTTCGAAGGTTTTAAATAACTAGATTGAAGGCTAAATAATTGTAACAGTCGATACTGGTTAGGTAGTGTTGCGAAAATAATCATAAAACGCCGCAATTGAAGTCTCACTTTACTTTAATTTACATACTCGTATAAGACGATTAAGTGGTTGTATGATTGTCTAAGCAGCTAGATAGAAGTTTGCATTAAATATTAAGTTCTGCACTTGTCGCTAATCGCACTTGGCAGACAGACAGACAGACATTTTTAGGGTGTGGGGCAGACATATATATCTTGTGTGTCTATATGCTAATAAAATGTTATCTCATATTTATAGACAAGCCGCAAAACACTTCTGTACACACTCGCACACACACACACACACACAGTCATCAAATATGCATAAATTTATACTCACACACACACACATACACGCGTACATGCATACTCGTGCTCGCATGGACACTCAACACACAAACATGTGTTATGTGGTCGTGTTAAACAAAGCTTTAAAATGTAAAACCATCTAAGGGGTGAGTTGCGGGGAGGGAAGGGGAGAGGGAGCGACATATTAAAAATGTAAAACAAAATGGGGCCAGGCCTCCAGCAAAACAATGCTAGCAGCTAAAGGCTAAGCGCCTAAAAACGCGCAACATGCAACGAAAATCATTTGCGTCGCTCTTTACATTTTGGTTTTTTTTTATTTGTGTATTTTTTTGTTTTGTTTTCCGCTTGTCTGCGTGCGTGCGTTTGCATGCTGATTTCCGTTTCCTGTTTACGAGTGCACACACACACACATACATATTACCAAAATATGCCGGGCGATACATTTCGTTGTTGTTGTTATTTGTTTTGCGCTTCCATATGAAAAGCATTTTTTATGGCATACTCGTACATTTTTAATAAACTGGCATAGCTACTGCGTCCTTAACTACGGCTGCTGAAGCATATACTTGTAGTATGTATGTATGTTTATTTATATATATACTATATGTATCCTTCCATATGCAATAGTAAACACACACTTCAATTTACACACATGGGAACACCCGTCGATTAACACGCACACAATCGCACGCCCCAGGATTATAAACCCATGAATTCAAACAGGCTGACCACCGGCACTCGATGAGCGGAGCGAGCACACACACACATACATAGTACATGCGAGTACATATGTACATACCTACCTACATGTAAACAGACATGCGTTCACATACATGCATACCTGTGAGCTGACAAATGCGTCGCAACCGATAAAGTTCGTAAATATTTGTTACAACATTCGTTAGTGATAGGCCTCTGAACACATTTTATTATTTTAAATCCCTTAATTTATGCGAAACAATAATACTTGATACTTTTTTCGATTGAAAAAGGGAATGGACTGTATTACCAGTCTGTGAATTGATTTAAAAGAGTAACGAAAGGTTTTAGTATCTTAAACTGAATTTCTTACTTGACTCTTGAAACCTAAAGATAGAACGAACTTCTACCAAAGATACTACCAATACGAAAACGTCCGTACCCTCAGCACGAAAAATGAAACGAAAAAATGTAAACCGATGACGATGTTTAAGTATTCTTTTTAAAATTAATTCGTTATTCTAAGAAGAAATGTTCATGACCTTGCACTGTGAAAAAAGTAATGTAAAACAAATTTTAATTAAAGGACGAAACAACAGGAAATCTTCTTTTTAAAGGTTTTTATAGCCTTTTTCTAAGGTATATTTTAAGTTCTTCAGATTTGGTTTGACACCATTCCCCTTGTGAATTACAGCAAGCAATTAAAGCTATAGTATATAACAAAATATTCTGAAAAATTAAACAATAACCCACTTAATTCTTCAGCTATTAATACCACTCGACTTAATTTGATTGGAGCATTTAGTATATTAGAGATAGTTGTTTCTTTTAGAAGGCAGCTAAATAATTGA